TGCAGCATTTTTGTATGTGGACTTTTCTTTTCAGAGATACTAACAATTGAAATATCAATATACAAGTGGGCCACATTGGGTATGATTATTAATACTCATTACTTACATGTTTGAGGAATATGAGGTAGAGTTGTTGTTGGCAGAACTGTGAAATCCAAAGAAAATATAATGATGGTTAAACTAGTAAGACAGAAGATTATAGAGCGTTTTCACGTGACCTCACTGCGGCCATTATGGGTTACCAAAACAATACATTTTCTATCCTCTGGGAATTGAACTCTATTTTTATGCAAATACTGTGCAGAAAGTTTCTATTGTTTGTGGCTGCCTCCTCACGTGAGTGAAAACGCCCTATATGACTTGTACTATTTTTGAACTCAACACGAGAAATGAGTAGCTAAAAGGAATAGCATGCATCACAAAAAAATAACGAAAAGAACGCTTCTTATAGCAGCCAATGTTGTCTCTTTTGTTGTTGGTTAGTTTCTTTCTTCCTTCCTTCCTTCCTTCCTTCCTTTCTCTGTTCTCATTCCTTCCTTCCTTCATTCTTCCCTTCCTACTTCTCTCCCTTTTATTTCTTTATTTATTATTTTTCCTTTCTTAAGTTTTAAATAATGCTTAAATAAGTATGAATCTAAAGAACAGGATGACTTAAATTTCATATATTGCACTAGTTGATTCTACTTACTTGTCGAAAGCGGAATCGAGGTTGTTAAGAACACTATGAAGAAGAAGAAGAAGAAAAAACAAACACAATTTTTATTATTAGTTTTTTATTAAGGCTTTTTTAAGTATTATATCTAAGTATTATATTAATAAGTTTGCTGAATGCATAATTATGTAGAATGTTTGCATATAATTAATGTTATAATATTATTCACGGCTCTCTGGAAGAGCATCAGTTGTATTAGGAATGAGATTCCGTGTTGAAATAAAGTGTATGAATGATGCATATATATTTTTCTATCAGTACTTACAGTAGTTCTCGCAGTTTCTCCCAGTATATCCTGGACCACACTGACAGCGGTATCCATGTGTCGAGCCGGTTTTAATACATATGCCATTATTACGACACGGCTGAGATATGTCACAGATATGATCGATTATCCCTGTAAAACAAAAAACAAGTTTCTTTCCGCTTTGACCAATCATAAGGTATATTATATATCTATAGGACTGATATTCATGACGGCGTAATTGCTACATATTTTATTCATTTTTACATACGTCTAACATTATCATATTTCGACCAATCCGAAAGCAAGCATCCAGATTCATCAAATCTCGTTCAATCTTATTACGTCATACATGGCATTTGTAGTGTCATAATGGACCAAATCCATTTTGGCGTAATGTTTAGCCCATTTCAGACCACGTGTCATTGTCTTAAGAATGAGATTCTTTGTTTGAGTTGTATCCATATTCATGTCTCTTCTCATGTGCAACCGTTAAACAAAGAAATGATTCTCTAGGGAATGACACATGGTCTTGAGAATAAGATTCTTTGTTTGAGTTGTATCCATATTCATGTGTCTTCTCATGTGCAACCGTTAAACAAAAAAATGATACTCTAGGGAATGACACATGGTTTTGACAATAGGATTCTTTGTTTGAGTTGTATTCATATTCATGTGCCTTCTTATGTGCAACCGTTAAGCAAAGAAATAATACTCTAGGGAATGACATGTGATGGGAAGTGGGAAAATAGTGAACTAGGTCTATAGCCTACTTACAACTAACTTAATCGTACTTCCAATCATAACGTCATAATTAATACTCACACATAATTGTTGATGTTGATTGTACTGTAAATCCAAGAAGACAACAACATTATTTAAACTCCCGAATAAGCCAATAAGCCTGAAGCGAGATGACGTTTTACCCCCGACTCTATATCATTATAGTTTTTAGATTTTTTCATATTAAAATTTTTGATTCCTTAGAGAATACAGGAACAATAGTCATAATTAAAGAACAAAAGCATCATGAAAAGGATTATGGTCTAAAGACGGGGGTAAAACGTCGTCTCGCTTCAGGCTTATTGTTGGTTCCTCACTACGCCCCTGATTTGTACAGGGCATTCAGGAAATAGTACTCAAGGGAATGGCATGTGGTCTGAGGGAGATAAAAAATACTGACGAAGAAAGAAATAATACTCAAGGAAATGACATGTGGTATGAGATGGAAAAACATTACTGATGGAAAAACATTACTTTTCACGCACACCATTGAGAATACAGCCAATCAAAATTGATGATGAGGATGATACATAATAATGATGAAATTGGTGATGATGATGGTGATGATTGTGTAGAGAGACTAGTTAAAATAAATTCGGTAGTTCTTACTTGTTGTAAACGGAGTCGAAGTCAAGGCAGTCGTTGAAGGCCGATGATCTGTAATGAAGAAATGATCGTTAAGCGGCTGATCTAAGTCAGGGCATGGCTAACTCACAGATAGAACCCTAAAACAGCCTTTAGCTGGGCTGATCTAAGTCAGGGCACGGTTTACTCACAAATAGAATCCTGCAACAACCTCTAGGCTGATCTAAGTCAGGTACATGGCTAACTCACAGATTGAACCCTGAAACAACCTCTGGGCTGATCTAAGATAGGGCACGGCTATCTCACAGATAGAACCCTGAAACAACCTCTGGG